GGAAGAATAATCTCTAAACAACTTAAAACTTAAAGAGTATGACTAGGAATTTAACAGCTGAAGAAGAAGAAATCCAAAAAATGTTGGAATAAAAAGCAAGAGAAAGATGAAGAGATGAAAAAATGAATTGGAATAAAAAATGCAAGAGAAAGATGAAGAGATGATAGAAAACAAATAAGGATAAAAATATGTGGAAGAATGAAAATAAATACTTCATGTCATAATCTCTAAACAACTTAAAGAGTATGACTAGGAATTTAACAGCTGAAGAAGAAGAAGAAAAAAAATGTTGGAATAAAAAGCAAAATGTTGGAATAAAAAGCAAGAGAAAAATGAAGAGATGATAGAAAACAAATAAAGAATAAAAATATGTGGAAGAATGAAAATACTTCATGTCAAAATCTCTAAACAACTTAAAGAGTATGACTAGGAATTTAACAGCTGAAGAAGAAGAAGAAATCAAGCAAAATGTTGGAATAAAAAGCAAGAGAAAGATGAAGAGATGATAGAAAACAAATAAGAATAAAATATGTGGAAGAATGAAAATACTTCATGTCATAATCTCTAAACAACTTAAAGAGTATGACTAGGAATTTAACAGCTGAAGAAGAAGAAGAAACCGCTAAAATGTTGGAAAAAAGCAAGAGAAAGAAGAAGATGAAAAAACAAATGAATTGGAATAAAAGCAAGAGAATCTCTAAACAACTGAAAGAGATGACTAGAAAACTAAGAAGAAGAAATAAAAAATGTTGGAATAAAAAGCAAAGAAAAGATGAAGAGATGATAGAAAACTAATAAGAATGAAAATATGTGGAAGAATGTCATAATCTCATAAAAAACAACTTAAAGAGTATGACTAGGAATTTAACAGCTGAAGAAGAAGAAGAAATCAGATAAAATGTTGGAATAAAAAAAGCAAGAGAAAGATGAAGAGATGATAGAAAACAAATAAGAATAAAATATGTGGAAGAATGAAAATACTTCATGTCATAATCTCTAAACAACTTAAAGAGTATGACTAGGAATTTAACAGCTGAAGAAGAAGAAGAAATCCGCTAAAATGTTGGAATAAAAAGCAAAGAAAGATGAAGAGATGATAGAAAACAAATAAGAATAAAATATGTGGAAGAATGAAAATACTTCATGTCATAATCTCTAAACAACTTAAAGAGTATGACTAGGAATTTAACAGCTGAAATGAAGAAGAAGAAATCCGATAAAATGTTGGAATAAAAAGCAAAGAAAAAGATGAAGAAGATGATAGAAAACTAATAAGAATAAAATATGTGGAAGAATGAAAATACTTCATGTCATAATCTCTAAACAACTTAAAGAGTATGACTAGGAATTTAACAGCTGAAGAAGAAGAAATCAAAAAAATGTTGGAATAAAAAGCAAGAGAAAGATGAAGAGATGATAGAAAACAAATAAGAATAAAATATGTGGAAGAATGAAAATACTTCATGTCATAATCTCTAAACAACTTAAAAAGAGTATGACTAGGAATTTAACAGCTGAAGAAGAAGAAAAACCGCTAAAATGTTGGAATAAAAAGCAAGAGAAAGATGAAGAGATGATAGAAAACAAATAAGAATAAAATATGTGGAAGAATGAAAATACTTCATGTCATAATCTCTAAACAACTTAAAAAAAAGAGAGTATGACTAGGAATTTAACAGCTGAAGAAGAAGAAAATCACTAAAATGTTGGAATAAAAAGCAAGAGAAAGATGAAGAGATGATAGAAAACAAATAAGAATAAAAATATGTGGAAGAATGAAAATACTTCATGTCATAATCTCTAAACAACTTAAAGAGTATGACTAGGAATTTAACAGCTGAAGAAGAAGAAGAAATCCGCTAAAATATGTTGGAATAAAAAGCAAGAGAAAGATGAAGAGATGATAGAAAAACAAATAAGAATAAAATATGGGAAGAATGAAAATACTTCATGTCATAATCTCTAAACAACTTAAAAAGAGTATGACTAGAATTTAACAGCTGAAGAAGAAGAAGAAATCCGCTAAAATGTTGGAATAAAAAAAAAGAGAAAGATGAAGAGATGATAGAAAACTAATAAGAATAAAATATGTGGAAGAATGAAAATACTTCATGTCATAATCTCTAAACAACAAAGAGTCTCACTAGGAATTTAACAGCTGAAGAAGAAGAAGAAATCCAAAATGTTGGAATAAAAAAGCAAGAGAAAGATGAAGAGATGATAGAAAACTAATAAGAATAAAATATGTGGAAGAATGAAAATACTTCATGTCATAATCTCTAAACAACTTAAAGAGTATGACTAGGAATTTAACAGCTGAAGAAGAAGAAATCCGCTAAAATGTTGGAATAAAAAAGCAAGAAAAAGATGAAGAGATGATAGAAAACAAATAAGAATAAAATATGTGGAAGAATGAAAATACTTCATGTCATAATCTCTAAACAACTTAAAGAGTATGACTAGGAATTTAACAGCTGAAGAAGAAGAAAAAATCCGCTAAAAATTGGAATAAAAAAGCAAGAAAGATGAAGAGATGATAGAAAACAAATAAGAATAAAATATGTGGAAGAATGAAAATACTTCATGTCATAATCTCTAAACAACAAAGAGTATGACTAGGAATTTAACAGCTGAAGAAGAAGAAGAAATCCGCTAAAATGTTGGAATAAAAAGCAAGAGAAAGATGAAGAGATGATAGAAAACAAATAAGAATAAAATATGTGGAAGAATGAAAATACTTCATGTCATAATCTCTAAACAACTTAAAGAGTATGACTAGAATTTAAAAGCTGAAGAAGAAAGAAACAAAAAATGTTGGAATAAAAAGCAAGAGAAAGATGAAGAGATGATAGAAAACAAATAAGAATAAAATATGTGGAAGAATGAAAATACTTCATGTCATAATCTCTAAACAACTTAAAGAGTCTCACTAGGAATTTAACAGCTGAAGAAGAAGAAAAAAGCTAAAATGTTGGAATAAAAAGCAAGAGAAAGATGAAGAGATGATAGAAAAACTAATAAGAATAAAATATGTGGAAGAATGAAAATACTTCATGTCATAATCTCTAAACAACTTAAAGAGTATGACTAGGAATTTAACAACTGAAGAAGAAGAAGAAATCCAAGATAAAATGTTGGAATAAAAAGCAAGAGAAAGATGAAGAGATGATAGAAAACAAATAAGAATAAAATATGTGGAAGAATGAAAATACTTCATGTCATAATCTCTAAACAACTTAAAGAGTTTGACTAGGAATTTAACAGCTGAAGAAGAAGAAATGAAGAGATGATAGAAAACTAAAATGTTGGAATAAAAAATACTTCAAGAGAAAGATGAAGAGATGATAGAAAACAAATAAGAATAAAATATGTGGAAGAATGAAAACAACTTCATGTCATAATCTCTAAACAACTTAAAAAGAGTATGACTAGGAATTTAACAGCTGAAGAAGAAGAAATCCGCTAAAATGTTGGAATAAAAAGCAAGAGAAAAGATGAAGAGATGATAGAAAACAAATAAGAATAAAATATGTGAAGAATGAAAATACTTCATGTCATAATCTCTAAACAACTTAAAAGAGTTTGACTAGAATTTAACAGCTGAAGAAGAAGAAAAATCCGCTAAAATGTTGGAATAAAAAAGCAAGAGAAAGATGAAGAGATGATAGAAAAACTAATAAGAATAAAATATGTGGAAGAATGAAAATACTTCATGTCATAATCTCTAAACAACTTAAAGAATATGACTAGGAATTTAACAGCTGAAGAAGAAGAAGAAACCGCTAAAATGTTGGAATAAAAAGCAAGAGAAAGATGAAGAGATGATAGAAAACAAATAAGAATAAAATATGTGGAAGAATGAAAATACTTCATGTCATAATCTCTAAACAACAAAAGAATATGACTAGGAATTTAACAGCTGAAGAAGAAGAAATCCGCTAAAATGTTTGGAATAAAAGCAAGAGAAAGATGAAGAGATGATAGAAAACAATAAGAATAAAATATGTGGAAGAATGAAAATACTTCATGTCATAATCTCTAAACAACTTAAAGAATATGACTAGGAATTTAACAGCTGAAGAAGAAGAAGAATCCGCTAAAATGTTGGAATAAAAAGCAAGAGAAAGATGAAGAGATGATAGAAAACAAATAAGAATAAAATATGTGGAAGAATGAAAATACTTCATGTCATAATCTCTAAACAACTTAAAAGAAATGACTAGGAATTTAACAGCTGAAGAAGAAGAAAACCGCTAAAATGTTGGAATAAAAAAAGCAAGAGAAAGATGAAGAGATGATAAAACAATAAGAATAAAATATGGGAAGAATGAATAAAAATATGTGGAAGATGACTGAAAATACTTCAAGAAGAAACAAAGAAAATGTTGGAATAAAAAAGCAAGAGAAAGATGAAGAGATGATAGAAAACTAATCTCTAAAATGTCTAAACAACTTAAAAGTATGACTAGGAATTTAACAGCTGAAGAAGAAGAAATCCGCTAAAATGTTGGAATAAAAAGCAAAAGATGAAGAGATGATAGAAAACAAATGAAGAATAAAATATGTGGAAGAATGAAAACTTCATGTGATAATAAACAACTTAAAATGAATAAAAATAGCTGAAGAAGAAGAAATCCGGAAGAATGAAAATGAAGAGATGATAGAAAACTAATAAGAATAAAATGTGGAAGAATGAAAATATTCTTTAGAAAAAACTAAAAAAAATCTATTAAATAAAAATTAATAAAAAATTAATAAGAGCTGGCAGAAAGGATTACCCAATATCTGTATAATAGTATACACAGTTCTCCGGAAAAGCCTGAGCCTCTATTGCGAACAATGTATATATATATATATATTTAACAACAGGCGACGGAAAGTGAAATATAAACATCGGAAGGATACATTGTAATAGTGAAAGGTGCTTTTTAGTAACTAAGCCAAGTATAAAATGGATCTGAAGCTCACCATAAAAAAATCTTAAAAAATGTGCTGTACTGTTATAGTAGTGAAATGACATAGATAGATAGATGGATAGATAGATAGATAGATAGATAGATAGATAGATAGATAGATAGATATGAATAGGACTGAGATAGAGAGAAAATGAAGATAGATTGATAGATTAATATACAAGGGATAGATAGATAGATAGATAGATAGATAGATAGATACACGTCTTGCACATTGATAATTGAACCTAATCGACTATTTTTGAACTTAATGGATTGCGTTGTAAGATTTAGCAGGATATTAGTATACTTTAACCTGAGGTAAAGTTAGATAAGGTTAAATTACACACATATCCTGCTAAATCTTAATAAATACATCTAGGGCATAAAGTTCAGTACTCTAGTTATATAACCTTTATAAATATGTTTCTCTGAATATAATTAGTAATCATTTAATTCAAATATCTTAGGTTTTTTAACTTAAATTTCTTGGTTAATTATACAAAAAGCTTTTACTAATTTACATTTAATTGTTTTTTAAAATTCGCCAATTTCAAGGACTTTTAAAAATGTTCTTAACCAGGCACTTTTTTTAATATTATATACAGAATTTGTTGAATAAAATGCAGGGGATTTAACTCTTCCTTAGTTTAAAGTACATTCATATCCTGATAAATATTAAGAAATACATCTAAGTTCAAGACTCTAGATATATAACCTTTATAAATATGTTTCTCTGAATGTAATTAATAATCATTTAATTCAAATCTTTTAGGTATTTTAATTTAAATTTCTTGGTTAATTATAGAAAAAACCTTATGAAATTTTTTCCCTAATTTCGAAATCTTTAAAATCTTTTAATATTATTTACAAATAATTTGTTGAATGAAATATATCAGCTTTGAAATTTGAACGTTGACAGAAAAAGACGGAACTGTTCACACTGAACTAAGTACAATTTAAGAACTTGCACCATCCTCAAGCCCTTCCACCATTCTCAAATGACATAGTGAGGTCAGTTTATCAAAATAGGTCAACACTCTCTGCCATCTTCTCACTTTCTAAATAAAATAGCAATATCTCTTGATTTTAATCTGGAATATTTTTTTTATTTAAAAATTATTACCTGTGGGATTTTAAGTGTTTGATATTATTTAATTAATAATAATTTTGCTCTGTCTTTTGACATAGTACTCTCCCTGGATCTATATCCGCCTGGAAATTTCATACGGATTACTATATTGTATCATGAGTATCCAAAAAAAAATAAAATAAAATAAAATAAAAAACACAATCAAGTTAATGTACTCTCCGTCAAGGTTCGAACATGCGTTCTGCTTTGTAGTCATAAGTACCGTTTCATACAACTTGATCATAGACCACTCAGCCACAGAAAGCATCAAAGCTCAGTAATTTATCCTACAAAGAGGGTACTGCAGTTTTGCACCCTGCCGGAGAGCACATTTTCTTTATTAAGTTTTATCGGTGGCAGAGGTCAATATATATAATAAAAATCTGTGCGTTTATTTTAAAATGTTTGAAGTAATATACATATATATATATATTAATAAAAATGCATATTATCCTCACCACTAGCAATAACTTTGTTATAAAAAACGAAATTGTTTTATTAACACCATGACTATATATATATATATATATATATATATATATATATATATATATATATATATATATATATAGTCATAAAATGTTAATAAAAAGGTGTATATATATATATATATATATATATATATATATAAACAC